CCCCCCCCCCCCCCCCCCCCCCCCCCCCCCCCCCCCCCCCCCCCCCCCCCCCCCCCCCCCCCCCCCCCCCCCCCCCCCCCCCCCCCCCCCCCCCCCCCCCCCCCCCCCCCCCCCCCCCCCCCCCCCCCCCCCCCCCCCCCCCCCCCCCCCCCCCCCCCCCCCCCCCCCCCCCCCCCCCCCCCCCCCCCCCCCCCCCCCCCCCCCCCCCCCCCCCCCCCCCCCCCCCCCCCCCCCCCCCCCCCCCCCCCCCCCCCCCCCCCCCCCCCCCCCCCCCCCCCCCCCCCCCCCCCCCCCCCCCCCCCCCCCCCCCCCCCCCCCCCCCCCCCCCCCCCCCCCCCCCCCCCCCCCCCCCCCCCCCCCCCCCCCCCCCCCCCCCCCCCCCCCCCCCCCCCCCCCCCCCCCCCCCCCCCCCCCCCCCCCCCCCCCCCCCCCCCCCCCCCCCCCCCCCCCCCCCCCCCCCCCCACCCCCCCCCCCCCCCCCCCCCCCCCCCCCCCCCCCCCCCCCCCCCCCCCCCCCCCCCCCCCCCCCCCCCCCCCCCCCCCCCCCCCCCCCCCCCCCCCCCCCCCCCCCCCCCCCCCCCCCCCCCCCCCCCCCCCCCCCCCCCCCCCCCCCCCCACCCCCCCCCCCCCCCCCCCCCCCCCCCCCCCCCCCCCCCCCCCCCCCCCCCCCCCCCCCCCCCCCCCCCCCCCCCCCCCCCCCCCCCCCCCCCCCCCCCCCCCCACCCCCCCCCCCCCCCCCCCCCCCCCCCCCCCCCCCCCCCCCCCCCCCCCCCCCCCCCCCCCCCCCCCCCCCCCCCCCCCCCCCCCCCCCCCCCCCCCCCCCCCCCCCCCCCCCCCCCCCCCCCCCCCCCCCCCCCCCCCCCCCCCCCCCCCCCCCCCCCCCCCCCCCCCCCCCCCCCCCCCCCCCCCCCCCCCCCCCCCCCCCCCCCACCCCCCCCCCCCCCCCCCCCCCCCCCCCCCCCCCCCCCCCCCCCCACCCCCCCCCCCCCCCCCCCCCCCCCCCCCCCCCCCCCCCCCCCCCCCCCCCCCCCCCCCCCCCCCCCCCCCCCCCCCCCCCCCCCCCCCCCCCCCCCCCCCCCCCCCCCCCCCCCCCCCCCCCCCCCCCCCCCCCCCCCCCCCCCCCCCCCCCCCCCCCCCCCCCCCCCCCCCCCCCCCCCCCCCCCCCCCCCCCCCCCCCCCCCCCCCCCCCCCCCCCCCCCCCCCCCCCCCCCCCCCCCCCCCCCCCCCCCCCCCCCCCCCCCCCCCCCCCCCCCCCCCCCCCCCCCCCCCCCCCCCCCCCCCCCCCCCCCCCCCCCCCCCCCCCCCCCCCCCCCCCCCCCCCCCCCCCCCCCCCCCCCCCCCCCCCCCCCCCCCCCCCCCCCCCCCCCCCCCCCCCCCCCCCCCCCCCCCCCCCCCCCCCCCCCCCCCCCCCCCCCCCCCCCCCCCCCCCCCCCCCCCCCCCCCCCCCCCCCCCCCCCCCCCCCCCCCCCCCCCCCCCCCCCCCCCCCCCCCCCCCCCCCCCCCCCCCCCCCCCCCCCCCCCCCCCCCCCCCCCCCCCCCCCCCCCCCCCCCCCCCCCCCCCCCCCCCCCCCCCCCCCCCCCCCCCCCCCCCCCCCCCCCCCCCCCCCCCCCCCCCCCCCCCCCCCCCCCCCCCCCCCCCCCCCCCCCCCCCCCCCCCCCCCCCCCCCCCCCCCCCCCCCCCCCCCCCCCCCCCCCCCCCCCCCCCCCCCCCCCCCCCCCCCCCCCCCCCCCCCCCCCCCCCCCCCCCCCCCCCCCCCCCCCCCCCCCCCCCCCCCCCCCCCCCCCCCCCCCCCCCCCCCCCCCCCCCCCCCCCCCCCCCCCCCCCCCCCCCCCCCCCCCCCCCCCCCCCCCCCCCCCCCCCCCCCCCCCCCCCCCCCCCCCCCCCCCCCCCCACCCCCCCCCCCCCCCCCCCCCCCCCCCCCCCCCCCCCCCCCCCCCCCCCCCCCCCCCCCCCCCCCCCCCCCCCCCCCCCCCCCCCCCCCCCCCCCCCCCCCCCCCCCCCCCCCCCCCCCCCCCCCCCCCCCCCCCCCCCCCCCCCCCCCCCCCCCCCCCCCCCCCCCCCCCCCCCCCCCCCCCCCCCCCCCCCCCCCCCCCCCCCCCCCCCCCCCCCCCCCCCCCCCCCCCCCCCCCCCCCCCCCCCCCCCCCCCCCCCCCCCCCCCCCCCCCCCCCCCCCCCCCCCCCCCCCCCCCCCCCCCCCCCCCCCCCCCCCCCCCCCCCCCCCCCCCCCCCCCCCCCCCCCCCCCCCCCCCCCCCCCCCCCCCCCCCCCCCCCCCCCCCCCCCCCCCCCCCCCCCCCCCCCCCCCCCCCCCCCCCCCCCCCCCCCCCCCCCCCCCCCCCCCCCCCCCCCCCCCCCCCCCCCCCCCCCCCCCCCCCCCCCCCCCCCCCCCCCCCCCCCCCCCCCCCCCCCCCCCCCCCCCCCCCCCCCCCCCCCCCCCCCCCCCCCCCCCCCCCCCCCCCCCCCCCCCCCCCCCCCCCCCCCCCCCCCCCCCCCCCCCCCCCCCCCCCCCCCCCCCCCCCCCCCCCCCCCCCCCCCCCCCCCCCCCCCCCCCCCCCCCCCCCCCCCCCCCCCCCCCCCCCCCCCCCCCCCCCCCCCCCCCCCCCCCCCCCCCCCCCCCCCCCCCCCCCCCCCCCCCCCCCCCCCCCCCCCCCCCCCCCCCCCCCCCCCCCCCCCCCCCCCCCCCCCCCCCCCCCCCCCCCCCCCCCCCCCCCCCCCCCCCCCCCCCCCCCCCCCCCCCCCCCCCCCCCCCCCCCCCCCCCCCCCCCCCCCCCCCCCCCCCCCCCCCCCCCCCCCCCCCCCCCCCCCCCCCCCCCCCCCCCCCCCCCCCCCCCCCCCCCCCCCCCCCCCCCCCCCCCCCCCCCCCCCCCCCCCCCCCCCCCCCCCCCCCCCCCCCCCCCCCCCCCCCCCCCCCCCCCCCCCCCCCCCCCCCCCCCCCCCCCCCCCCCCCCCCCCCCCCCCCCCCCCCCCCCCCCCCCCCCCCCCCCCCCCCCCCCCCCCCCCCCCCCCCCCCCCCCCCCCCCCCCCCCCCCCCCCCCCCCCCCCCCCCCCCCCCCCCCCCCCCCCCCCCCCCCCCCCCCCCCCCCCCCCCCCCCCCCCCCCCCCCCCCCCCCCCCCCCCCCCCCCCCCCCCCCCCCCCCCCCCCCCCCCCCCCCCCCCCCCCCCCCCCCCCCCCCCCCCCCCCCCCCCCCCCCCCCCCCCCCCCCCCCCCCCCCCCCCCCCCCCCCCCCCCCCCCCCCCCCCCCCCCCCCCCCCCCCCCCCCCCCCCCCCCCCCCCCCCCCCCCCCCCCCCCCCCCCCCCCCCCCCCCCCCCCCCCCCCCCCCCCCCCCCCCCCCCCCCCCCCCCCCCCCCCCCCCCCCCCCCCCCCCCCCCCCCCCCCCCCCCCCCCCCCCCCCCCCCCCCCCCCCCCCCCCCCCCCCCCCCCCCCCCCCCCCCCCCCCCCCCCCCCCCCCCCCCCCCCCCCCCCCCCCCCCCCCCCCCCCCCCCCCCCCCCCCCCCCCCCCCCCCCCCCCCCCCCCCCCCCCCCCCCCCCCCCCCCCCCCCCCCCCCCCCCCCCCCCCCCCCCCCCCCCCCCCCCCCCCCCCCCCCCCCCCCCCCCCCCCCCCCCCCCCCCCCCCCCCCCCCCCCCCCCCCCCCCCCCCCCCCCCCCCCCCCACCCCCCCCCCCCCCCCCCCCCCCCCCCCCCCCCCCCCCCCCCCCCCCCCCCCCCCCCCCCCCCCCCCCCCCCCCCCCCCCCCCCCCCCCCCCCCCCCCCCCCCCCCCCCCCCCCCCCCCCCCCCCCCCCCCCCCCCCCCCCCCCCCCCCCCCCCCCCCCCCCCCCCCCCCCCCCCCCCCCCCCCCCCCCCCCCCCCCCCCCCCCCCCCCCCCCCCCCCCCCCCCCCCCCCCCCCCCCCCCCCCCCCCCCCCCCCCCCCCCCCCCCCCCCCCCCCCCCCCCCCCCCCCCCCCCCCCCCCCCCCCCCCCCCCCCCCCCCCCCCCCCCCCCCCCCCCCCCCCCCCCCCCCCCCCCCCCCCCCCCCCCCCCCCCCCCCCCCCCCCCCCCCCCCCCCCCCCCCCCCCCCCCCCCCCCCCCCCCCCCCCCCCCCCCCCCCCCCCCCCCCCCCCCCCCCCCCCCCCCCCCCCCCCCCCCCCCCCCCCCCCCCCCCCCCCCCCCCCCCCCCCCCCCCCCCCCCCCCCCCCCCCCCCCCCCCCCCCCCCCCCCCCCCCCCCCCCCCCCCCCCCCCCCCCCCCCCCCCCCCCCCCCCCCCCCCCCCCCCCCCCCCCCCCCCCCCCCCCCCCCCCCCCCCCCCCCCCCCCCCCCCCCCCACCCCCCCCCCCCCCCCCCCCCCCCCCCCCCCACCCCCCCCCCCCCCCCCCCCCCCCCCCCCCCCCCCCCCCCCCCCCCCCCCCCCCCCCCCCCCCCCCCCCCCCCCCACCCCCCCCCCCCCCCCCCCCCCCCCCCCCCCCCCCCCCCCCCCCCCCCCCCCCCCCCCCCCCCCCCCCCCCCCCCCCCCCCCCCCCCCCCCCCCCACCCCCCCCCCCCCCCCCCCCCACCCCCCCCCCCCCCCCCCCCCCCCCCCCCCCCCCCCCCCCCCCCCCCCCCCCCCCCCCCCCCCCCCCCCCCCCCCCCCCCCCCCACCCCCCCCCCCCCCCCCCCCCCCCCCCCCCCCCCCCCCCCCCCCCCCCCCCCCCCCCCCCCCCCCCCCCCCCCCCCCCCCCCCCCCCCCTTGACGAGGAGAATGACTTTCTCTCTTGGCCTGAAGGGATTCGACTGCTAGAATTGTAGATCGTAGAGAGAAGTGGTGAACTTTCTCTTTTTCCCTCCCTTCTTTTCTCACGGTGAAACCGGTTGAAGAAATGGGGGAGAAATCTGATTTTTTCCCCCTATTTAAACTCCCCAAACTCTTGGTCCACAATGTGCCACACGACCCTCTTTTTCTCGGGTCTGTTTTTATCCCAAAACGATTAAATTTCGACCTAAAATTATTTTCCAACTTTCAAATTTTTATTAAAAATCCGTTTCTTG